TTTTGCTATGTAGTTCAGGCTGATCTTGGACTCTTGGCAATTGTCCTGCCTCAGCCTCCCAAAGGATGGTATTACAGGTGTGTACCACCACACATGGCCAAGCCATGGAACTGACTGTGGCTGAGGTTCCCATGACCTTGTGTTTAAATCAAGTTTTCCTTCCTTGGGCTGCTGTCACCAGCTCCTGGCTCTGGTCCACACTTCTTTTCCAGGGGCCCTGGTCTCTGAGCTTCTGGAAGGGCACGGCCTTGTGCTGTCCCTCCTGACCTCACCCTCTCTCCTGCCCTCCTGTGCCTCGCCTGCCACCTCACTCTGCGCAACTCCACGGGGCACGCTCCTGCCTGGAGACATCTACCCCTCACCTTTGCCAGGGCTTTAGTTTGGAGGTCACTGCTCCCACAAAGCCCCAGGACCCTACCCGAGTCCAGATTTGGTGCTACCATAGCTCTGCCCTCCCTTGATGGAACTGCTGCTTCTCTTTCCCTCTGCTACCAGACCATGTGCCTTACAGGGGCAGGACCTGTTTCTTTTGCTGTAGAGTCACCTTTAGGAAGCATACTAGGCACACAATAAATGTCCTCCTCCCTTAGCTTCCACATGCTAGGGAAAATATGCAGTTCTTGTCTGAGCCTGGCTTATTTTGCTTAAGATGATCTCCAGTTCCATCCATCTCACTGTAGGTGATATAATTTTGTTCTTTATGAGTGAGTAATATTCCACTGTGCACATGTACCACATTTTCTTTACCTGTTGATGGGTACCTGGGCTGGCTCCATATCTTCATTATTGTGAATTGTGCTGTTGTAAACATGGGTATGCAGGTATCCTATAGTATCCTGGCTTTAATTCCTTCTGGTCTATACCAAGGAGGGGGTATAGAGCCATGTGGTAGCTCTATTTTTAGTTTTTTGAGGAATCTTCACATTGATTTTCGTAGTGGCTGTACTAATTTACATTCCCACCAGCAGTGTAGAAAGTTTCCTCCCTTCATCTCATTCTCAGCAGGATTAATTGTTTTTTGTATTTTTGATGACAGCCATTTTCCTAATGGCTAACGATGTTGAACATTTTTTCATATATTTATTGTGTACGTCTTTTGAGGATTGTGTACGTCTTTTGAGGATTGTGTGTTCAATTCATTTGCCCATTTATTGATTGGACTATTATTTTGGGGGGTGTTTATGTTTCTTTGAGATCTTTCTATATTCCTGATATTAACACTTTGCTAGAGAGTATCTGGGAAAGATTTTCTCCCATTCTGTAGGCTGTCTCTTCACTCTGTTGGTGGTTTCCTTTGCTGTGCAGAAACTTTTCAATTTCTTGTAGTCTCATTTTTTGATTTTTAAAAAATGGTACTGAAGGCCTGGGATTTGGCTCAGTGGTTTCGCTGCCTGCTGCGCAAGCGGAAGGATCTGAGTTCGATTCCCATCCCCAGCACCAAAAAAAAAAAAAATGGTACTGGGATTGAACCCACACTGAGCTACATTCCCACTCTTTTTTGATTTTTAAATTTTGAGACAGTTTTGCTAAATTATTCAGTTGCCCAGGCTGGCTTGAACTTGGCGATCTTCCTGCCTCAGGCTTCCAGGATGCTAGGATTTTAGGTGTGCACCACCATGCCTGGCCCATTTGTTGATTCTTGCAATTATTTCCTGTGCTATTAGAGTCCTATTCAAGAAGTCTTTGCCTGTGCCTATGACTTCAAGTGTGTTTCCTCTGTTTGCTTCTAGCAGTTTTGAAGTTTCAGGTCTAAACCTAAGTCTTCAATCTTTTTTTTTTTTTCAGTACCGGGGATTGAACTCAGGATCTTGCACTTGCCAGGCCGGCTCGGTGCCACTAAGCTACATCCCTGGCCCCAAGAAGACCAGGTGCTGGCCTATTTTGAATTGATTTTTATACAGGGTGAGAGATAGGACCTAGTTTCAGTCTTCTACATTTGGATATCCAACTTTCACAGCACCATTTATTAAGGAGACTGTCTTTTCTCCCCTGTATATTTTTGGCCGCTTTGTCAAGAATCAGATGATTGTGGTTGTGTGGGTTTGTTTCCATGGCCTCTATTCTGTTCCATTGGTCTATTTCTGTGTCAGTAGCATGCTGGTTTTGTCACTGTGACTTTGTAGTTGGTCATTGTGATACCTCCAGCCTTACTCTTTGCTCAGGATTGCTTTGACTAGTCTTCATTTTATGTGTTTCCATATGAATTTTAGGATTTTTTTTTCTAGTTCTATGAAGAATGTCATTAGAATTTTGTTTGGGGATTGCATTGAATCTGCAGATTGCATTCAGTAGTATTAATTCTGTCGACTCATAAATATGAGAAGTCTTTCTATCTTTTAGTGTTTTCTACTTTTCTTTTTTCAGTAATTTTCATTGTAGAAGTCTTTCATCTCCTTGTTTATATTGATTCTTAGGTTATTTATTAATTTATTTTTGAAGCTGTGGTAATAGAACTGTTTTCCTGATTTCTTTCTCAGAATATTCATTACTGATTTCTTAATGTTTATTTTGTGTCCTGCAACTTTGCTGAATTCATTTATCAGCTCTAAACGTCTTTTGGTGGAGTCTTTAGGGTCTTCTAAATATAAGATCATATTGTTGGTAGATAAGGATAATTTGACTTCTTCTTTTCTTATTTGTATTTCCTTTTCTTCTTTTTCTTACCTAGGAAAGAGAAAGGAAAATCCCAAGTACTGTGTTGAGTAGGACTGGTGAGAATGGACATTCTTGTCTTGTTCTGATTTTAGAGGAAATACATCCATTTTTTTCCCATTCAGTATAACCTTGAATAAACTGTGAAAATTAACACATGCACAGAAAGAATATCTTTTTGGGTACTCAGTTTTATGGGTAATTGTCATTTTAAAAAGAAAAAATTCTCACTAGTCTGACTTTTTTCTCTTTGTGCTATTCTGGTTTTATGATCAGATTCTTTTTTTTCCTTTTTGGAAAAATCAAAAATTGCATTTCTAATTTAGAAAGACCAACTGTGTTCTTAGGGTCCAGTTTTGGGTACCCAGGTGGCTATGAGTTTTCTGAATGGAACGCAGCCTTTGTTCCCTCATGCAGTCCCACCTGCTCCTTCCTTTGACCCCTTTGTATTAGTTTCCCACAGTCGCCATAACGAATTACCAAAACTCGGTCACTTAAAACAACACATCTTTATTACGTTACAGTTCTATAGGTCAGAGGTCTGCTGTGGTTCTCTTGGGGCTAAAATCAAGGTGCCACAGGGCAGTTCCTTCTGAAACAGCTGTACAGCTCAATTTAGCAGCATGCATGCTTTAGTATTTAAGGGAGGGCAAGGAATGCCTGTTACTTCCTGTGTAATGTGTCAGAAGTAGCACAGACTGATAGCTGGAGATTGTCAGATATGCCATGGAGTAAGCGCAGTAAAAACATTAAGGATAACTAATGTTTTAGAGTCATAGCTATTGCTGTCATAGTTCTTCATTTTTATGTTTGAAAAAATCTTTTAGCAAAATAAAAAAATTGCAGGTAATGCTATTAGCCAGATAGAGTCAGCCTTTTGTTTATTTACGTACATCTGTACAAGGTCAGTGGTTCTCAACAGAGGTGATTTTGCCCCCAGGGAACACGTATTAAAGTCTGGAGACATTTTTAGTTGTTACAACTGGGGCATTGCTGCTGGCCTCTTTGGTAGAGGCCAGGGACAACACTAAATGTCTCCCAGTGCACAGGACAGCCCCACAACAAAGAGTTGGGCCCCACTGTCAAGAGGACTGACGAGGTAGAGAACCTGACAAATGCATGCATATCTGAATGCATGTATTCACACATATAAATGTGTGTGTCCATGCATGTTTTATACTGTCTTAGTTACTTTCTCATTGCTGGAACAAAATACCTAACACTCACAAGTTAAAGGAGGAAAGGTTTATTTTAGTTCACAGTTTGTAGAGGTTTCAGTCAATGGTCAGCTGGCTCCAAGCAGAGTGGCAAGTCAGAGAGAAACAGTCCTTGGCAGGGTAGGCAGGAGACAGAAAGCAGCAAGCCTGCATTCCCTCTCTCCCTTTATATTCCACCCAGGCTACAAGCCCATCAGTTGGTGGCATCCAAACCCAGGGTGGTGCCTTTGTCTTCAGTAAATCCATTCAGCCACACCCAGAACTATGAAGATCCAATCAGTGGACTGATCCAGTATCACATAACCTAGATCCAGCTACCTTCGAAAAGCCCCACCTATGAGCACATGAGGCTTTGAGGGGACAATTAGATACAAGCCATCACATATACTTACATGTATTTTAAACAAAATTTGGCTTATAAGTTTATAACTTACGTTTTCATAATGCATTATTATTTTCCCAAGTAACGAAATTGCCTTTCACATTGTTCCATTTTAATGGTGATTATAGGTCATATGTTGTGGTTTATTGTACCCAGCTCTATTCTGGCTTTTTATTTTATTGATTTATTTTTGGTTTTTTTGAAACAAGGTCTTGCCATGTTGTCTAGACTGGTCTTGAACTCACCATGTAGCCCAAGCTGTTCTCAAATTTGCAGTGATCCACCTACCCCAGCCTCATGAGTGCTGAGATTATAGGTGTGGCCCACCACACCAGCATGTGCCACCATGGCTAGCTTGATTCTGGCATTTTAGGTGGTTTCCCCATCCTCAGGAGACCTCAGTAGACTTGGGCTGTCCCTGTCAGATGAATCTCTGTGCTACATTGTGAAGGTCCTGGTCACCTTTGGGACTGACTTGGGTGCCAGCTTTCTCCATGCCAGCATTTATTCTTGGAGTGTCCAAGGGTTGCTATCCTTCCTCTAGGTGGCTTGTCTCAGAGCTCAGCAAGCAGAGGCAGCAGCCACCAGTGTGGCAACTCACTAGGCCTGGATCAGTGCTGGGCAGCCCTAGTCTGGACCTGGTGTGGGCAGAGCCATAAAGTCTCATTCTATGTTGCCCTCCACCTGCTACCCAAGTCCTTCCTGGCTCCCAGGGACACAACCTGACTTTAACCTCTGTCTTCTTTCAGTTCCAGGCCTCTCCTTCTGATGAACAGAGACACAAAGAATGGATTACAGTCACCAAACTTCCCTAGTCCCACGTGGGCAAGATAAATACATTTCCAAGTAAGAGTTTTTTCCACAGTGTCGTGTCTCCAGGGGCCAGTCCTGTGTGGGATGTTGTGGGCGGGTAGAAGTTGCTGATAGAGAGGCCTCCTCAGTGTATCGTGAGTGTTCAAAGGAGCTGAGTCCCTGCACATGGACTAGTGAGAGCAGTGGTGAGCCTGCAGCTGTGGATAAAAACTGGAGCCAAGCCTGGGAGGATGCAGGGAGTGCCGGGGCAAGACAGCATCTTTGAGGGTTCAGGAGAGGTGGTGTGCTGGAGGCTTCTGTGAGGAGGAGCTGGCTGGTGGATGCTTGCTATAGTCTGTTTCCCCCAGAATTCATATGTGGAATCCTAACCTCCAGTTGACAGTGTTAGAGGTGAAGCTTTGGGAGATAATTAGATCAGGAATGGGGCTCCCTGTGAGTGGGATTGGGCACTTAAAGAGAGGCCTGGGGGAGCTGACTTGCCGTCTGCTGTATTAGAATGGAGGGCGAAGGGCAGTCCTGGAGGAGCAGGCCCTTACCTGGCACTGCAGCCGCTGCACCTTGACCTTGGGCAGCCCGTTCTCTGGCACCGTGGGAAGTGAGTTTTCATGGTTTGTAAGCTCTCAGGTCTGGGTTTTCTGCCTTGACAGCCCCAGGGGACAGAGACGCTGCTCATGGCCTGTGTGCTGATGCCATGCCCAGGTCCTGGCTGGAGCACTGTGTCCCTAGGCACCGTGGCTCTGGCTGTGATGGGTGTGGGCACCCTCTGACCAGAAGGAACAGGTTCATTGCTTTCTATGCACTGAAGTCTCTGGGACTCAAATTGGCTTTTTTCCACAGTGCGCTTTTGGGTCTATTGTTATGTCCAGCCTGGGATTGTACATACTGGATGCTCTCCATCTGAGATTATTTGAGATGTTTTAGACTCACTTGGTCATGCACAGGTGCCTGCTATGTGATCCAGAGCAGAACAACTTCCTCCTCCTCCTCCTCTTCCTCTTCTTTCTCCTTTTTCTTGTAGTATTGGGAATTGAACCCAGGGCCTTCACGCTGAGCCCCAAGCTTTATATACATATAAATATATATTTAAATATATATATATATCTTTTTAGACAAAGCCTAGCTAAATTGCCCAGGCAAGACTTGAATTTGTGATCCTCCTGCCTCAGCCTCCCTGAGTGCTGGGATTATAGGTGTGCCCCACCATACCAGCATGAGATCCAGAACATTCTTACCTCTTTGATGAAGGATTTCCCCAGGGACTTTACTGCCCAGTAATTGTACATTGTAGTTTCACATCCTTGTAGTGCTAAGCACCAGATGACCTTCTGTTTTAGGTTATCTGGAATTACACTTTTCACCAATTCATTCCAGCTCACATGGAATTACTCCTTTATCTGGGTTTAACTTGTCAGGAGTTCCTTGAAATTTCCAGTGGGTTTTGACTTCTGGTGTGGCCTAAAATCTCTCCACTGAATGGCTTGGTAGAAGGATGTTGAACTCAGTCACCTCTTGCCTGTGAGAAGGCAAAAGTACATGCAGGCAGCTGCTCAACCTCTCTCTCCTTTCATCCCTTGCAGAGCACAAGGACTGATAAACGAAAGGCACTTCTGTCAGAGCAGAACATTGCCCACTTCCACTCCCTGGTCCCCAAGGGGACCCATTGTCCTGAATCCTAACACCTATTACAGACTTTATGTAAATGGCATCATACAATAGATCCTCCCTTGAGCCTGACTTTTGTCACTCAACATATAGTACCTGAGATTCATCTGTGCTGTGTTGTTCCTCCATATATTCGTTGCTATATAATATCACTTCCTTTATTCCTTCATTCTGCAGTTGATGGGAGTTTATACAGTTTTGTTGTGATTTTATTTTTTAAGACAGGGTCTCACTATGTAGTCTAGGTTGCCCTTGAACTGACAACGTAGTCCAGCTTGGCCCTGAACTTGCAATCCTTTTGCCTCAGCCTCCCAAGTGCTGGGATTACAAGAGTGCATCACTATGCCTGGTTTAGGAGTTTGTAACTTTTTGAACACACAATGAGGTCTCGTTGATGAAGCTTAAGTTGGTGTGGCTCAGACCTGTCCCTGTTGACCTTCTGGAAAGCCCAGGAGTTTCAAGTCTGTGTTTTTTCCTCTCAGCATGCATGAGGGAGGAAGCAGTGGAGGACAGCAGAAACCTGTCTGTGGGTGTAGAGGGGTGCTTATCTCTGTGAATCTGTGACTTATCTGCCTGCTCCTTTCACAGGGTTGGGGTCTTTTCAGAGACGCTGGCCTCTGTCTGCAGATGAGGCTGCCTTGGGTTAGGAGTTGCTTCTTATGCAGTCTGTTCTGGGCTGACACTTGACATTGGCCATGGGGGAGCTGATGTGTGTGTTCACTCACGTGGGTGTACACTCCTTGGGTGATTGGGGCCTGGTCAGAGGGAGAAAAGGACAACTACATGGCAGGCAGCTTCAGATGAGAATGTTGTGATTTGCCCCCAGGAATGAACTTCTCCTGCACCTGAAGACCTACAACCTGTACTATGAGGGCCAGAACTTGCAGCTGCGACACAGGGAGGTGAGGCATCCTCAGAGAAAGCCGGGCAGCTCTGCCCTGGGACCTGGGCTTGGCTTTGCCTCTATGAGTGCTGGGTCTGCAGGGCTTTGAGGTCCTTGGAGGGTCCCTGCCCCTCCTGCCATAGCAAGTGACCTCTCACTCAGGGTGTGTGTGGGCATCTTTTGCAAGGAGGCCAGGCCAGCTTTTGCTCCATTCCAGGCACAGGACAGTCGGCTGGGGTGGGGGGTGTTTGACTGCATAGCCTGGGCTGGGGTCTCCAGGGGAGGTTTTCAGGAAGCACCTTCTCAGGTGGCTCCCAAGCAGGTGTCCTCTTGCTGGGCAGGCCAGGAACCTTCCCCAGGCCTCTGTGGCTGCCTTCTCAGACTGTGCTTTGGTGTCTCTGACTTTCCCCAGCCCCCATCCCGAAGCTAAGCTTACTCATCCTGGATCCATTTCTGTAAAGCCTGTTATCAGATAGACAATGAGTTACAAAGACATCTGGTAGAGTAATTTATACTCAAGTGTTCTTGACTGATAAGAAGGCATAGGTAATACACTCTCCAACACATTTTCAGCCTATCAAGCCATGGCAGTTTAATCCATAGAGACAGATAGCAGGTGGTGGCATTTCAGCTGCTCAGGTGGGCTCTCGGGGGATAGCTGTGGGAGGCAGTGGCCTTTCTGTATCCCTCAAGTCCTCGTACCCCATGAAGTCCTATTGTGGGTTAAATTCTGCCCTGAAGTTGTGAAGCCAGCCCCATCCAGAGGGAAGGCTGTATGAGCAGCCTGTGCTTGCTAAAGCCTTGCTCCCCACCATCTTCGAATGCCCCAAATTCGTTCCATTCCTCTCCTGCCTGCCTTTATTCCCTCCCCATTATCCTTTGGCCTGGGTTAGTGACTCCCTGGGTAGGTATCACTTGTACCCATGGGTCCTGTCCTCTAGATGTGGTCACCATCCAGGGTTGACACTGTGGGCCCTGCCCATAAAACAGGAGTTTGGAAGGATTTTTTTCTGAGGCTGGAGAAAAGAAACCTGACCCATTTAGACATTGTCCTCACAGTGTCTGTTAATTAGTGATCGGACTATGGGCAAGATTGGGGCCCTCAAACAGCTTTCCTGGGGCACAGCTCATAGAGTAAATCCTCATGGTGTCCCATGATTAAAGAGTTTTGTGGTTATAAATGGGATCTGTTTCTTTGGGATGGAACAAAGCAATCTCTTAGGAAGGTTTTACATTTAACTTCTTATTAGTCAAGGGGCTTTGAGTATAAATTTGGAATTCCTGCAGGATTTACTCACCTCTTGGAGAGTCACAGTGTAGCACATGAGGTTATTACAGGCACTGAGAGTTCTCCGGAGAAATCTGATTAACAGCCTCTCCCAGCTCATGACCACTCAACACCCTTTTAAGGCAACAGTCTGACTGCTGGAAGAGCTAGTGCTCTGTAGGAACATTGCTTTAAATCTTCACCCAGCCAGTCAGGTTGCTGAAGATATATTAATAGCTAAAGACACATCCCTTTCTGTAGTAGGGGAGGGAAAAATAGCTAACTCAAGAATTCACTTCTTGCTTCTAATCGTAAGTCTTGTCTCACTTATTTGAAAAGATGTATTCTGGCTTCTTAAAGCTCATTGAAATAAAGACAACAAAATGTTTTCACAATTTGCATTTGTGTATTTGGATCTCACAGCAACTTTGTTTTTTGGTGGTGGTGGTACTGGGGTTCGAACCCAGGGCCTCATGCATGCTATTATGCAAGTGCTCTGCCTCTGGGCCACATCCCCAGCCCCTGTGTGGTGCTCCATGAGGTCAGCTTTAGGATGGTGGACTTTACAGCAGAGTGCATCTTACGGCTGGGGAGCGTGAATCCCATCCACATCCTGTGGATTTAGTCAGGACACACAAAGGAGGCTGTCCTTGTCCCCAGGAGGGGCTGGCTCTGTGGGGTCTCTTCCGGGTTCACCAGGCCAATTGCTTTGTGAGCAGGAAGAAGATGAGTTCATCGTGGAGGGGCTGCTGAACATCTCCTGGGGGCTGCGCCGGCCCATCCGTCTGCAGATGCAAGACGACAATGAGCGCATCCGGCCCCCGCCCTCCTCCTCGTCCTGGCACTCAGGCTGCAACCTGGGGGCTCAGGGGTGAGTTAGGGTGCACAGGCCTGGGAGGTGACTGGGATTCTTTGTGTCCTTAAGCAGGTGAATACCACTGTGCAGCCGGCCTCGCTTCTCTCCCCTGTTCCCACCACCTCTGCCGCTACTTGCTTTGGCTTGGGATGCAGAGAGGGTCCGTGTTGCTGGGATCAGGCCTCTGCCTGTCTCCTTGATGGATCTCCCAGTGAGGTCAGAGGAAGGAGGGAGGTGCTCAGTCAGTGGGGACTTGCCAAGCCTGGGCGACGGTGTCCAGCCTCGAGGAGAGTTCCTGGCCTCTGGGGCGTGTTGCTAGTGGCTTCCTGGGGCAGCCTGTGGATTTCTGATGGATCGATGCCCCCGTCTTCCCCGCTGTAACCACTCCTCATGGAATGAACCTGCTCTGGGGACGTTTAGGGGCTGGCCCTTCTGACCAAAGCCATCCCAGCTTGGGAGAGACTTTTATCTTTCTTTTAAAAATATTTTTGTATTAGTATATGCTTGTGATAAATACACTCACCACTCAGAGTTGGTATATAGATATATCTATTGCTTCTTGATCCTTTTTACTTCCCTTCCCCTCTGCTCCTTCCTGTCTCCCCCATGTCCAGATCCCCTTCCCACCTCCACAGAGGCTGTGTTTCCTATCATCTATGACTTTGCTCTTTCAATTATTTAGACTTTGGGTTCCATGCCTGTTTTTCCACACCCTCCACGGCCAAGAGAGTAGGGAAAGCATCTCGCACAGCATGTCCTGATGTCTTTCTGGGACGTCAGCTTTGAGGATCAAGTGACTGGCCTTGTTCCTCCTGAAACTTGCTGATGTTGGCTGCCTTAGGGCCAGAGCCCCGGTGGGGTGTGCCGGCCTCTCAGCCAAAACCACAGTGATATTTTTTTTCTAGTTAAATGAGAATCAAGCCTTCTCTCTCTCTGTTGGCCATGTGGAATGTTTTGTTAAACCCCACGGCCATATCTATCATTCTGTATGATGGATGGATACTACTGGGTGGCCACATCCTCCGGCTGATCTGATTTCTTCCCTAGAGAATTTAAGCAGGAAAGCTGCTGCCCGCCGCACTGGGTGCTGGGATGTTTCATGAAGCTTTGCTTTCAGCACTTCAGGTGGCTTTGATTTTGATTTCCAATGGGCCAAACCCTGTGCACTGCCTGAGCCCGACCCCATTCTGTAACATTCCGTTCCCTGTGTGAGATGATATTTGAAATTCCACTTGACCTTGGGGCCTTGGGCTAGGCTGCTGAAGGGTCCTTCAGTCTGCACACTCGTTTCTTCTCTCTGCCCTGTGATATCAAGCAGATCTTGGTTGGCCCTTGGAACCTGCAAATACCTTGAGAGTTTCCAAGAATGTGGCCTAGATGTCAGCTAACAGAAAGCAAATGCCTGGATGGTCGTGTTAAAAAGGATGCTGAGGCCAGTTTCTGCTTCAGTGAGAAAAAGGCTTTGGATCAGGAAGTGGGGAGTGATGGCTGTGGTTGCCAGTGATTCATCAGTCCCTGGGAGGCTCTGGCTAGATCCACTTAGGGGCGCAGAAGGCTATGAGTTAGATTACAAGAGAAACTTGGATATTTTTTTGAGACAGGGTCTTGTTACATAGCTCAGGCTGGGCTTGAACTTGTGGAGATCCTCATGCCTCAGCCTCCTAAGTGTTGTGATTACAGGGATGGGCCACCACACCTTGCACTCTTTCAGATTTTCAGTTTCAGTTGTCTTCCCTTGAAATCATCCTCCTTGGAACATACAACCTGTCTCTGCTGGGTCCTAAGGAGCCCACCCTCTTCATCCTGGGAAGTTCCTAAATGGTCAGAGAGGATTCTTCTCTCTGGCCAGATCCTCTGTTGATTTGGAGTGTGTTTCTCCAAGCTGCTTCTGTTGTCTTTTTTGGGTTTTGAGAGATTATTTGCAAGTTATCACGGCCAACCTCAGTCTCAGCTCAGGTTGCCTGCAGTGACCCTTTCTCCAACATGGCTGGGGTCTCTGCCCTTGCAACACTGACGAAGCTCACATCTGTGTCTCTTCCGGAAGACAGCCTGCTCTTTTCAACTCCTTTAGATGCCAGAAGCAGTTTCTGAGTTGTTATCCATCCCTCCAGAAGAAATGACTCTGAACTGAAATCCTGTCCCAACAAACAACTGGCTGTTAGGGTTTTTCAAACGAGCTGTAGAACTCACACGTGCTTAGAAGCTCAGTGCAAGCAACAGACAGGTTTTGTTCTGGGGCTTCTTCTTCTCAGGCTGGATGAATTGGGTGCTTGTATTGCTACAGATGCTGGGAAAGACGCCCCCCCCCCATTGCTGGGCCTGGGAACGGGGCCAGCTCATTACCTGGGGTGTTCGCTACCTAGCCTGGCCCAGGCAAAGTGTTCTCCTTGAGGGTGGGGTGGCTGGGAGTGAGGGCTTCTGCCTGCATAGAGTTCGCACAGTCTCCCTTTTGTTTGTTTCCTGCCCCAGCACCATCCTGAAGCCCCTCACCATGCCTGCCATTCAGATCTCAGAGGCGGACACCCCTCCCGAGGGTGACCAGACACCCAGCCTCACAGGTGCGTGTGCCTTGGTGGAGGAGGCTCCAGGTGGGCCAGCTGTGTGCCACTGCTGCAATAGATGCTGTGAATGGTCACCCGTGCATACCTAAAATTCACATGGCTCAAGACCCGAAGAAAGTATTAAAAGGAAAGAACTAAAAACCTCCCACCTCCTCCACCCACCAGAGCTTCCCTCCCTAAAAAAGCCCTGAATGTGTCCTGGAGGGTCTCCTCTTCCCCTTTTTACACTAGTGGGAGCGTTTTGCACATTGCTCTTCTTATTTATCAAATGAACTTCCATACAAATGCATAAAGAATTTCCTCCTCTGTTGTAGCTCTGCGTGTTCCTTTGTATGGAAAATGATTGTTTTTAATTTTTAATCACTCTTTTTGATAGACTTTTAGGTCACAGTCAGACTTTGATGTGACAACCCTGGTCACAGTCAGCATCCTGGGACATGTCTCATTTCATACATTTGTCCAAGAGGGACCGCTGGGTCTGAGGCTTTGTGCATTTGTAATTTTGAGAGATATCGTCAATTTGCAAATCTCTCTCTAAAGCGTGAATAGATCTCAATAAAAACAGATTACCTTACTTGTGTATGACAGTTCACTTAATGTCAGTGTTTTAGATTTATAGACATAAATATGTCATGGGCCTCCTATGTATTTATGTTGATGTGATCTATTAAGCATTTTTCAAATTTTTTTTATTATGGTTATTAAAATACATATAAAATGTTTAATCTTTACCATTTTGAAGTATTCAGTTCAGTATACATACATTCATAATGTTGTGCAACCATCACAATTATGTATCTCAGAATTCTTCATCTTATATGCAACTTTATTTAATTTGTGCGTGTGTGTGTGTGTGTGTGTGTGTGTGTGTGGTGCTGAATGTCAAACCCAGGGCCTCACACCTGCTACATAACCCTCCACCACTTCTTTTATCATAAAAGAGACCTGGAGGGTATGGCTCAGTGGAACAGCGCTTGCCTAGTGTGCAGGAAACCTGGGTGAGATCTCTAGCACTGCAAAAGTTTAAAACATAAAATAAAATTTCCAAAACTCTGTACCCATTCAACAACCACTCCCTGTTTCCTTGGCAGTCACTGGACTGCTTTGTGTCTCTGTGACGGGGCTGCTCTGAGTGGAATCATACGGTGCTTGTCAGTCTGTGACTGGCTAATTTCACACACGTGTCATCCTCAAGGCTTACACATGTTGTCACATGAGCTGGGATTGGTTTGCAGTATCTCACGAACCCTCGTCTCATCCTTACTCCATGCCAAGCACTGATGTAACAGCTGTGTGTGGAGTCACTCATTCAGACCCTCACTGTAGTTTCTATAAGTGATGGAACTGTCTATTGTTACCCCACTTTGAGGTGAGGAAACTGAGGCAGGGAGGCTAGTAACAAGTATATAGTAATGGGGAGCCTGGGATTTGAACCTGGGAGTCTGGCCCTGAGGTCTGTGCTCTGTACCTTTTACTGTTATTATTTCTTGGTATATTATGTATCATGTTACTCCTTCAGCAGGATATTTTTATAAAATATGTTCATGAGCTGGATGAGGTAGTTCACACCTGTAATTTAGGAGGCCAAGGGAGGAGGATCACAAGTTTGAAGTCAGCCTGGGCAATTTAACCAGAATGTCTCCAGATAAAAAGTAAAAAGGATTGGGGATGCAGCTCATTGTGAGGCCCTGGGTTCAATCCACAGTATCACAAAGCACAATGCAACATACATTTTTGGGAGGCAGATGGTGCTGTATCATTAGCCGCCACGGAAACAGTGTGTAAGTTGCCACATCCTGCATCCATGCACACTGAGCTCGTTTCCCCCTCTTCTCTCAGACACCAGGGGTCTGAAGCCCGTGCAGGAAGACACCCCACAGCTGATGCGCACGCGCAGTGATGTTGGGGTGCGTCGGCGTGGTAACGTGAGAACGCCCAGTGACCAGCGGCGAATCCGACGCCACCGCTTCTCCATCAATGGCCATTTTTACAACCACAAGGTAGGATGAGTATGTGTGCAAGGGACAGGACAGTCTCAGGGGGCCACACCCCTTCCTGGGCTTCTGTTACCTCAAGGCTCCTATTGATGTGGTCCCTGTGCACACAGCGAAGCCAAGTGTTTGGCCTTCAGTGTTTGGGTTGTTGGTGGGCTGCAGGCTGTGCTGGCTTTGTGAAGGATGGGGAGCCCCAGATCAAGGGACGCCCTAGGGTGGTGGGTAAACTCAGTGGGGTTGAACAGAACCTTGAGGGCCCCATAAACACACTTGGGAACCATCAGCCTGCTTTCCCATCAGCCTGTGCGCTGCCTGGTCTGCCCTGAGCTAGGGTCTGCCCTGAAGCAGAGCTGTGGGGCCCAGATGGCTGTCTCTGCCTGCTTCTGGGTTCAAACCCTCCCTCAGAAGCTCGTCTGTGGAGGGAGGGGCTGGAGGCCTCCTGTGCCTGTGTGCTAGGGCAGGGGCTCCCTGAGTGTTTTATTTGGAGAGAGTCTGATTATTTCCTCCAACTCCTCCCCCGTCCTGCCCTTTGGGGGAGCATGAACTGAGGCCAACCGCAAGGGCTGTCTACACCAACACCTGCTACACATCATGAGCACCACTGCCACCGTGGCTGGCCTTCATGCTCCGTTTCTGTCCCCATGCCCACCCTCAGCCCAAATCCTTTGTCCACAGACTTCCGTGTTCACGCCTGCCTATGGCTCTGTCACCAACGTCCGAATCAACAGCACCATGACTACCCCGCAGGTCCTGAAGCTGCTGCTCAACAAATTTAAGGCAAGTTCTCTTTGTAGACTGTGTACCCCACAGCCCCGTCGAGGGCTATGGAGAGAGAGTGGTTTGGGGGTACTGGGCAGAAAGTTAGGTTCTTCAGACCCTTTCACAGTTCAAGGCATCAGCATTACCCAGCAGAGTGTTACAAAAGCAGATTCTGCCTGGTGTTCTGGTGCACACCTGTAATCCCAGCACTTGGGTGGCTGAGGCAGGAGGGTCCAATCGCCAAAAGTTTGAGGCCAGCATGGGCTACATAGTGAGTTCAAAAGTTCGAGGCCAGCCTGAACTACATAGTGAGACCCTGTCTCAATAAATAAATAGTAAAGAAAGAAAGCAAAGCAAAGCATATTCTTAGGCCCCATTCTGGACCTGCAAAGCCAGGAAGCTGTTCAAGGAGCCTGCAGGGCCGGGCTGCCCACTGAAGTTTGAGAAGCCTCGACTCTCAGCTCCTTTATTCTCCCTGACTAGAACTACCCTGGAGCCTGACTTCTGCTTTCAGACTCAGTGTATGAATTAACTTATGGGGCACAGCTGGGGACCCTGCTTTGAAAAATGATACTTAGATGTGCACATTATCCACCACTTGGGAGGCTGAGGCAGGCAGATTGCCGAGAGTTTGAGGCTAGCATGGGCTACATAGTGAGTTCAAGGCCAGCGTGAACTACTTAGCAAGACCCTGTCTCACACACAACCATGAGCTCCCCTGAGTTCGGCCTGCAATATAACTCAGTGGCACTGTGCCTGCCTAGAAATCAAAAGGTCCTGAATTCGATCCCAAGTACCAGAAAAACAAAAGCAAAAACAAAGGTCCTGTTACTCTGTTTTCCACAATTCTTTTAAACTCTTTTTGAGACCAGGTATTCTTATTTATTTTAGATGGAGTTTTGCTGTGTTGCCCAGGCTGATCTCACACTCCTGGGCTCAAGCAATTCTCCTTCCTCAGCTTCCCAAGTAGCTGGGACCACAGGCCTGTGCCTCAATGCCCAGCTAGTATTGTTTTTAATGGGAGCTGCTGTATCCTGGAACAGAAGGCTCTAGGTTCAAATCCCTGTCCCTCCTGTTAGCTTCCCGAGTGGGGAAGTGAGTCTGGCTCCCTGTGCTTCTGCCTCCTCAGGCATAAAAGGAAGACAGTGAGCACGTGTCAAGGGTGTGAGGTGAGCGAAATCATGTGAAGTGAGCGGAACTTCACAGTATGAAATGCTCCGACATCTGACATTTTTTGAGTACTAACATGACACTCAAAAAGTTTCAGATGTTGGGGCATTTTGAATTTTAGATTTTTGAATTAGGTTTACTCAATCAGTAAAGTCTGAAAAACTCCAGAATCGGAAACACTTCTGTTTCCAAACATTTGAGATGAATACACTCAACTTGTATCACCCATCACTGTTGATAGAGTCACCCGCCCATCACAGCTCCTCGTCCTCGTCCCTTCCCAGAGCTGTAAACAGAAAACCCTCTTCTCTCCATGGCCTAACTGGGCTTTGCAGTGGGGAAATTTAAATAAAAACTTTCAACAAGTTTCTTATGCTTCTGATTCAGATTGAGAATTCAGCAGAGGAGTTTGCTTTGTACGTGGTCCACACCAGTGGTGGTAAGTCTGTGGAACACAGTGTACTTTAAAACTTTTAATTAACTCAGAATAGCAAGTTAAAAAAAAAAAAACCAAAAACCCTCTGCCTCACTCAGTTATATGGGTTTTGGAAACTTCCAAATGTTTGCTTCCAAGGTTGGTGGTGGGCTTCAGCCCAGTGGGAAATGACATATGGGCTGTAAACAAACCCTAAAACCAACTGCCTATTGAAAAAGGAACTGAGGGCCGGGGATTTAGCTCAGTGCTTCCACCGCCTGCCTTGCAAGCACAAGGTCCCGAGTTCGATCGCTGGTACCAAAAAAAAAAAAAAAAAAGGAACTGGGAGGGCCGGGGATTTAGCTTAGTGGTTCTGCCGCCTGCCTCGCAAGTGCAAAGACCCAAGTTCGATCCCCAGTACCAAAAAAAAAAAGGAACTGGGTTTTCTTTTTCTTTTTCTTTTTTTGGTACTGGGGATCGAACTCAGGTCCTTGCGCTTGTGCAGTAGGCGGTGGAACTGGGTTTTCTTGAGAGACAGATAAACTCAGTTTCTCCAGAGAGGCATCTTCCTAAGAGTCAGTGGTATTGTTGAGGGCAGAGCAGTGGGAAGAGGTTGCTCTTAGCAACACCTATTGAATAGTTTATTTACAAATCCATCTTCTTCCTCGTGTGGCTGCATCTCCTAAGGTGCTGGCCAGTTGGGGACCCCTGAGTTGACCATTCACTGCAGGCTGAACTCAGGGGAGCTCCTGGTTGTGTGTGGTTCCAGAGAAACAGAAGCTGAAGACCACCGATTACCCACTGATTGCCCGCATCCTGCAGGGGCCCTGTGAGCAGGTCTCCAAGGTGTTCCTGATGGAGAAAGACCAGGTGGAGGAGGTCACCTATGACGTGAGTGCCCTTGTTCAGCCGATCTGTCCTCAGGAGGATGGGGATTTGGCTGGGGAACAGCCTGACTCTTTGGCCAAGGACCATGTCCCCTTTTGCTGCTATTCTTCAATATCAGCTTTTCTTGAAGCCAGTCGAGGGTGTACCCTGTGGGAATTGTGGGAGGAACGCTTAGGCAGAAAGGATTTCCACAGAAAAAATGAATTTTGTGAGTCTTTCTAGGGTACTGTAACAAGTTAGAGAAGTCTTATAAACACTTAACAGCACTAGCAGGAGCTGGGCATGATGGTGCATGCCTGTAATTCCAGCACTTGGGAGGCTGAGGAGGGAAGATTGCAAGTTTAAGCCCAGCCCAGGCAACTTAGTGATTTGACAAGACCTTCTTTCAAAATTAAAAATAGAAAAAGATCTGGGGATGTAGCTCAGTGTGAAGACTCTGGGTTCAGTTTCCAGTATGAGAAGAAAAAAAAAGAAGGAAGACAGAAATTAGCAGTGATTATACCTCACCTTATGTGTTAGTCAGCTTTTGTTGTGGTAACAAACATCCCCATTCTCAGTAGCTTGCAACAGCATTGTTTTTTGTTTTTTTGCTCCTCATCCTTCCAGCTTTGCTCTAGGCTGTGGGTTGAGGTCAGGTTTGCACTGTGTGTCTCATTCAGAGGTCCAGGTGGAAGGGCCAGTGGCCACGTGGGGTTTGTTCCTCTTGGCTGATGGCCAGGCCGAACCATGGAATTGCAAGGGCAGCCTCCACCCGGGTTGAGCACCTGTCATGTCTGTATGCATCCCACTGGCCAGAGGAAGCTGCACAGACAAGTTCAGCATTAAGAGGGTGAGGAAGTAGGCTGGTCCCGTGGAGGAAACTGTGGAGCAGGCAGGGGTTCCGGTGGGCGAGGGGAAGCCCTTGCTTAACTGTAACTCCCCTGTGGCCGATCTGCCTCCCCAAAGCAAGTGCCCATTTGGATGCCTATCTGAGGAGGCTAGAGCTACAAACTGTCGTCATGGTTCCTTAGGTTCCTTTGCAGGAGAACAAAGACCTCACTTAAATATGACGAGTTGAGTTCTTTCTCGACATCCTTGTATCAAAAGAAAGTGCTTTTCTGGGCCGGGGATTTAGCTTAGTGGTTCCAGTGCCTGCCTCCAAAACACAAGGTCCCAACTTCGATCCCTGGTACCAAAAAAGGAAAGAGCTTTTCTGTTTGACAACACTAAAATCGTGGGTTGGATAAAATGAGATGAAAACTGAGAAGTTACATCTTGCTGTGTAGTTCAGGCTTCCCTGGAACTCACTGTGTAGCCCAGGCTGGCTGTGAACTCGAGGTGATCTTCCTGCCTCAGCCTCCCAAGTGCTGGGATTACAGGCATGTTCCCCTGCACCCACATGCTCATTGCAGACTCTCTGCCAGCCTTGAGAAGGACGAAGCTAGGCTCTTGCCTTAGAGGATGTCCTGGGTTAGGGGAGAAGTAGGTCCTCAAGCTCCGTGCCTTGCAGGAGACTGAGGGCAAAGGGAATGGGAAAGCTCCCGGGAGAGGCTCACAGCCAGGTCTACCTCCTCCCCAGGTGGCCCAGTACATAAAGTTTGAGATGCCGGTCCTGAAAAGCTTCATCCAGAAGCTCCAGGAGGAGGAGGATCGGGAGGTGAAGAAGCTGATGCAGAAGTAAGTGTGGCTCAGGGTGCCGGCTGGATTCTCCGGGCCTCTGGGAGTGCAGACTCTGTCCCCTGGCCGGCAGGGGCTGCCAGGTCGCTGCAGGGGACAGGCATCCTGGGCCTTTCTGGAAGGGGAATCTGAGTCTTGGTGGGGACGTGGGGTTTAAGTGTGCTGGCCTCTCTGCTTCCTGTGTCATTGCCTTATTTTGATGCAGGGCATCAAAATGTCTTTCCCCCCTTCTTTTATGGAAGAACTTTCAAAAGGTGTTGGCTTAAAAATCTCTGAAATCTAGATTCAGAATGGGGGAGGTGACTTTACCCGAGGGTCACCTCAGAGGGCGGTGCTGCCTGAGTGAGGGCTGGGAGTGCCAACCAAGCCTGGGCTCCTGAGCCCTCAGGAGGTCAGCTCTGCGGCTGAAGAGCCTGAGCCACCCAGCTCCATGACCCTTCTGCCCACCTCTTCCCTTCCCAGCACTGCTTTCCTGGAAATTTCATTTGGGTTGAAAGGACTAGTGAAGCTGCTCTCTGGGGAGGATTTTCTGATTCCTGTGCCGTGTTTATCACATAACAGACTGCATTTCATAGATATTGTAGAACAATTGGTTGACTTTTGGCACTGGAGAATAAGGCTGTATTTACTGTTATCCATGATAGTAATTGGCATGATAGCAGTTAACATTTATTAAACACTGACTCTATCCTGAACTTTAGATATGGCTTTTGCTGTGCAGTGCAAAGCCAAACATTAAGGATGTGTCTCCATTCGCTCTGCACAATAATATCCACTCCACTATCTGTGGTGTCACTTTCAGGGACATCATGGGGAAACTGATCTCCCTACTGCCATGGGCTTCTGTGTCTGTTGCCAGGGTCTCTAGTGCAAAATGCAGGTACTAGTGTAGGTTGAACCTCATGAAGTTGCCATATTGGTAGCTCCCCAAAGGGACAAATGTTGCCAGTTTCCTATGTCCTGGCCTAGGTGAGGATTCATGAGCTACCGTGCACTTATAAGTACTGTGCATAGTGCCTTGGGCATGGTGAGCACTCATTTAATGGAGCTCTTATCATTGATTCTCTTATTCTCATGTTTTCCTCATTTCTCTAGACTTCCTGACCATAGTAAAATAGTCTAATTTGGATTTGGCCTCTTTATTCCTCTCATCCAGGTGTGGAAGTGAACACAGTAATGCAGTGGCTCATGAGTGGGCTAGTGAAGGTATCACCCAGTGCCACCTGATGTTAGCTGGTGCCTCCTGGGTGGGGTTGGGGGGGTCATCCGAAGGAAGGGTCTGTTGCCAGCTGCCTTCTACTATAGGCTATCTCTTGTCCCCAGGTACACTGTACTCCGGCTAATGATTAGCCAAAGGCTGGAGGAGATAGCTGACACTCCGGCAACAATCTGAACTGCAGGAATGGGGGATCCAGGTGCCCCAGGGGCTGCCACTGACCTGAGAAGACCCACAGGAAGCTGGGCGCTCCCCTCCCATGGCAGTGCTTATGTGCAAACCACAAGCCATCCTTTGGTCCTTGGAACAGGATGAGAAGCCAGCGGACAACTCCCTATCCCTGGATCCCTGCTCTCCTCTCTTTCACTTGCAAGAACTTTTGATTTTAACTATAAGGAGGACCACAGATATGTACCTGTATGTGCACAGGACACTCGCTTGTGCCTCCCTGATGTTTCCATCTGCAGTTGACTCTAGCAGCCAGCTCCACCACCACAAGGCTGACAGATGTGTGCCAGTGGCAGGAGAGTCAGGGGAGGACTTCAGGCTAAAGAAAAAATTTTTTCTCTTAAGAGCCGGGGGCAGCCACACAAATCTGCCCAAGTGTAGAAGGGGCATTTGTGCTGATAAGAGATTCTCTGTATGCCTGGAAAGGTCAGTGAATGTGAGATCCTTGGAAATTAAAAATAACATCCCCATATCCTTGTCTGATGGAGAGAAACAGATAAATTATCCTGGGTAGTTGCAATGAGTCCACATGTTTTTACACTGGAAACTTTGCTTGTTTTAAATAACAAAGATGAATGTGCTGGTCCATGTAGATGCCGAAGAATGGATTCCACCTTGCAGAGTCGGGGAGCCTGCATGATTCTCCCACGTGGTTCTCTGGTGCTTCCTTGGGATGGAGGAAAGTCCCACAAAGCAGAGGCCTCACGGGGTGCCCACGATGCTCACTGGGGCCTGGCTTGTCCTGAGAAGATGGCCAGGAGGTTTCCAAGCCCCCTCCTTAGGGCTGAAGGAAGAGCAGAGGCCACCTGCAGAGACCAGCGCCTGCCAGCCCAACCCGTCTTCACATCAGCACATCTTTGGGCTGTGCAGATCAACTGAGCAAGATCAGGTGCTTCTAACAGCTCTGAGCCTTGCTGGGGTAGGGATGCTGTGCATCTGTCCACCTGCTCCCAGGGAAGGCATGGAGGCCTGGGGAGCTGGGGGAGGGAGAACCACTGGCCAGAGCCTCCAGAGGAAAGTGGGCCTTGGTGGCAGAACCATTCCCAAGCCCCCAGCCTTCTCCCTGGCTTCCATAGCAGCCACAGAGCTGTGTCTCACTCCGCTGTCAGCACAATGGTCTGCTGCCACCGGGACTGCTGTAGGAATCTGCAAGACCCCCTCCTCCAGGAGCGCCGCATAACCAGCTCCAGGGGCGTCTGTCAGTCATGCACCTTAGTGGGCATCTGTAAGATGCACAAGATGGGGAGCAGTTTTGTGAATGCAGACGCACCCCCTGAGGTTTGCTTGGAGAACTTCTGTTCTAGCTATTTTTGTCGTAAACATTGAAAGCCTTGATTGCCCCACTAATTCTCCTTTGATGGGGGGAGGATTTTCACAAAGCCAATTATTAACCACTAACTCTTAGAGACAACTTTTTATTTCTAGTTTTTAAAATTCTCTGCGAATTACTCTGGCAATGCAGTAGTGTTAAATGTTCCAAAATGCCCAATTTGCCAGATCTCTCAGAATGTGATACCAAGGTAGCCTTGCCTTTCTAAAGTGGGGGTTCAGAGTATAAGGGTGAGGGGAGTGTGTTTTACACTATACACTTTCACTAGTGCAGGCCACCCTTTTCCATTTTGGCCCATGCTACAGAGATCATTTCTCATTCCCTAGTATTCTGATAAAGAAATTTGGCTGGGTGTGGTGGTGCATGCTTATGTTTGCCAGCACTTTGGAGGCTGAAGCAGGAGGATCTTTGTGAGTCCAAGGCCAGTCTGGATTACATATCAAAACCCTGTCTCAAAGAAAGGAAAATAAACAAAAAGAAGAATTTTGTATGTTTGGCTGGGGGGGTTATAGCTCAGTGATGGGGCACATGCTTCAAATGCATGAAGCCTTGTCTTCAATCCTCAGCATCAAAACAAACAAAAACAGGATTTGGGAAACCTTTGGAATAGCAGCAGCTGAAACAGAAACTTCCTGTGGCATGGCCCAGATTTTCCCACTAGTATCACATGGCCTTATGGCTTTGAACTCCTCAGCCAGTTTCTGTGGGTTGTGCAGTTGTGTGCAGTGAGCCTGAAATCGTGTGGCTATCAAAAGGCCAATGTACAGGGTTTCCCCAACTCCTGAGAAATAGTAGTTGCATCTGGATTTTCTTTTTCTTTCCTTTTTTTTTTTGGTTCCGGGGATTGAACTCCGGACCTTACACTTGTGAGGCAGGCGCTGGAACCACTGAGCTAAATCCCCAGCCCTTTTTGTTTTTGTTTTTTGCAGAGGTTTATGTTACGCAGTGATCAAGTGAAGGAAAAACCTGAGCCCTCTGGCCAGGAAGGTGGACAAAGCAGGAGGCCACATTCTCTCTGATCACATTAGTGGGAACGTGGGAACTTACGTAGGGGTGGGGACTGTCACTTGGGAAGGAATTGAAAAGCACAAATGATAAGCGTGCATGTGCCCTGGTCTCCAGGCTGGGTGGACTCCAACTTCAAGTGGAGGCTGAGGTGAGAGGGTCTTCCGTCCCCAAGAAAAGTACAGAGGCCTCAGATCAAGGTTTTGGTCTGCAACATGCTGATGCTTCCAGGAGAAATATTTGCACCTTTCTTTCCCCCCTAACAAAAAGAAAACAATATTCTCTCCTAGAAACCAGAGAAAGACGTTTTATCATCATCTCTGTAACATAATGATCCCCAAATCCATTCTCCCAGCGAAAACATCTTGGCAAGAATTGTTTTCTGTGGAAATGGGGGTTGTTTCAGTGCCTGGAAGAAGAAACAGCAGGGTGCGGGGGGGGCAAAAAGTTCTCAGGAAAAGAGAAGTCCTTTTATTTACTTATTTTTTGGTACTGGGGTCTGAACCCAGGACCTTCACACTGAGCTACATTCCCGCCCCTTTTAAATTTGTTTTATTTTGAGACTGGTTCTTGCTAAATCGCTAAATTGCCCAGACTGGTTGTGAATTTGTGATCTTCCTGCCTCAGCCTCCCAGAGTGCTGTGACTGCAGGTGTGTGCCACCACATCAAGTTAAGAGAGGTCCCTTTACAAACAACAATAACAACCGGAAAAAAAAAACCCCATGTTTTATTTCAAAGTTCTGTAACACAGAGAACTTAATGTCACAGATAATCTAAGAAGTTTCTACGTGGTGGAGGGAATTTCAGTACCCCATCGAGACGCAACTGCAGCCTGGTTGATGACGGGAGGACAGAGGAGACCGCTCTGAGTGCCCTGGCTACAGCAGCCTGGATTTCCCAGTTTCTACTTAAGTTGTTTTATACAAAGTCCTGCTGGAGTCAGATGAGACCTGATCTCCTGGAGAGATCAGACACCTGAACGTGGTTCATCTTTGAGGCGTAGCTGACGGTGTCTGTGCTGTCACAGGACCTCAGCGTGCCCACCACATTTTAAGGGAGCACAGAGATGCACAAACAGTGAGGGAGAAGCCTTGTTCCCCCTCAGGTTGCAGACTTGTTTCCAGTGTGTTGTTGCTTGTGTTTCTTAAGTTTTCCCGCTTGTTTTCGTTCTCTGTTCCCTTCCTAACACAACTTTCCTTTCAGCAGTGGTACCTGACCTGGTTCAGTGTTTGGCTCTGAACTGATAAATGGATGCATTCAGGCATCTTAACATCATTTGACAAGGCCTCAGTAGAGACCCATAGATTTTTGTAATCTTTTGATACGTTTTAATGCACCTAACTCAGATCTTATTGAAATAAAGCACTTTTCAAAGAGCTGCCCCCTGGCATGGCTCATGTGTGTTAGTTAGCTGGGACGGGCTCTGTGCTGGGAGAAGGTGGGGTAAGGTGGGGACAGGGATTGGAAGACGCACTCAGAGGATAAGTTGATTCTCTTCCCTGAGAGATTACATTTGCATGTGCCCAGACCTGGCTGTCATGTTCTGGCTTGGTTTGTTTCCTGTTGCTGTAACAAAATACCCACGACCAGGTAATTCATAAAGAATAGAGGTTAGTGAACTCACATTTCTGGAGGCTGGGAAATCAAGGGCTCAGAGCCAGCTCCGTGGGGCATCTGGCCTCTGGCGAGGGTTTTCCAGCTGCATTTTACCATGGCAGGAGGCATCACATGGTGAAGGAGCAAACATGCTGAAGAGAGTGTGCTTCTACAGTTCTTTTTTCCTTTTCTTTTTTGGTGCTGGGATGGAACCTGGGGCCTTCCTTGTGCTCGGTAAACACAGCTGCATTACGAGCCGCCCTCTTGGCCCAAGCTCTCACATTGGTGACACAGCCACTGCTGCCCACCCATTCCTCCAGGGATGGATGAATCTTCTCAGGAGTGTGGAGTTCTCACTTTCCAGAGGTCCCCTCTCAGCACTGCTGCATTGGCACTGAGTTTCTCACGTGTGGGTTTAGGGACACATTCAAACCATAGCATGTCCCAAACAGGAAATGAAATGAGGCATCCTTCTGGGGTCGCAAGTTGAGGTGGGGGCTGGGAGTCCTGGCAGAGAGAGTGGAGGCTGCTGCAGGAAGCCTGGTTCACTCTCCGCACCTGGCTCCTTAGTCCTGGGGAATGATCCCTGCTGAGCCTTCTTCTAGGATTGAAAAAGGTGGAGCTGACCCTCGGGAGAGTACCTGGGCTGCTCTGGGTTGGAAGTAGCCCTTCAGTGTCCCCAAAGGCAAAGCTTTCAGACTGAGGCCCAATTCCCCCGCTGAGGTGAGGTGGTTAATTGTGAGCTAATTTGGTCAGCTCTGGTACCCAGATACTTGGTCAAACACCAGTCTTGATGTTGCAGGGAAGTTATTTTTAGATGAGATTAACATTTAAATCAGCAGAAGTGAGTAGAACACCCTCCATAATGTGGGTGGCCTCATTCACTCCACAGAAGACAGGAAGAGATTGAAGGTCCCTGAGGCAGAAAGAACTGTTTTCAGCCTGCCTTTGGGTGATCAAGGGAGCCAGTTCCTTAAAACAAATTCTCTCCATCTACATATAATCATGTGTGCGAGTGGGTGTGTATGGTCAGACCTCCACATCTATAGGTTCTGTATCATTGGATTCAACCAACTGTTGATCAAAAATAGTAAAAACAAGAAACCAAAACAAAAGACAGTCATGGTAAAGCACACCCATAATTCCAACACTCTGGGAGGCTGAGGCAGGAGGATCGAAATTATGAGCTCATCCTAGGCAACTTAGTGATTTAGTGAGACCCTGTCTCAAAATAAGAAATGGAGCTGGGTGAGATGGTACATGCCTGTAATCCCAGCATTCAGGAGCTGAGGCAGAGGGTCACTGCAAGTTTGAGGCCAATCTGGGCTACATGTGAATTCAAGGCCAGCCTGAACTATGTAGCAAGATCCTGTTGCAAGAAAAAAAAAAGTTTAAAACAAAGAATTCTAGAAAATTCCATAAAGCAAACCTTGAATTAGATGTGTGCCCAGCACACTGCACACACCGCGCTCCTGCGGTGCCACAGAGCCTCGTTTCTCCAGCATGCGTTTGAGCACTGTTTCCTTTGCAGTTTGTTCATGTTCTGTGGAGTCAGATCGATGATGACTGCCCATGAAAGTACACATTTTTTTCTTGTCCCTATAACTGAAACAATACCATATAACTATTTCCATAGCATTTACATTGTATCAGGTATTCTAAATCACCCAGATATGATTTAAATTTGCAGGAGGATGTGTGTATGTGAGAGAAAGAGAGAAACTTTGGATAAGTTGGTTCCCTTTGAGTGTTATTCTGATTTCCTGTAATTGGAGATTTTAGTCAAGGGACTAAAATGGCCTTTCAGTTGGCGAATTAACTAAGCTGAGTGACGCAGACAAGCAGACAGGTAGCTCCTCCAAGGCAACGAGACTTGTGTGCTGCACATCGCAGGGAGGAGAGAACACAAATAGTTTGCTTGGGGTCTCACCAGGCCCCCAAGAGTCAAGCAGTGAGCCTTGTAGAAGTAAGATTGCCCCGGGCAACCCATTTGGGACCCCTTCTGTCTCCCAGGAGCTATTCTTATTACTAGTTCTTATTCTCCATTCTTGTTCCCCATAAATTTTCCTACTCTAAACCTCTGTTGTTCCTTAGGCAAACCCAGCATATCTGACATCTAGTATGATGGGAGTAACATCTATTCCCCCTATATCATCCCTTCTGTCTCTTAGAAGCTATCTTTCTTTCAATAAATCCTTCCTAAATATGGTATTTATACACAATGAAGAACTACTCTGCTCTAAAGACGGATAAATTTGAGTCATTCATAGAAAAATGGAGGCACCTTGAAACCATACTATTAAGTGAAATACTATAAATCAGACACAAGCTTAAGTATCACATGGTTTCTCTTATATGAGAAACCCAAAGTGTAAAAAATTTGAAGAACAAGTTAAAGATAGATAATAGGAAACAGAGAGCTAGATTTTTTTTCTGCAAGTGGAAAAAGTACCAAGAGATAGATGGAGATGAGAGGAAGAGAAGAGGAAGTAAAAGGAATGAAGATGTGTTTGCTATGTACAGGTACCAATTCCCCATGATGAATGTAATCATTGGGTACTGCGAACATGTACTAACAAAAATTTTTTTGTTTTTTGGTACTGGGGATCAAACTCAGGTCCTTGCGCTTTCGAGGCAGGCGACGGAACCACTGAGCTAAATCCCCGGCCCCCAAAATTTTTTTAAAATAAAAAAAATTTTCCTACTCTTAACCTCTGTTCTTCCTAGAATTCATTCTTTGAGTTCAGAGAACATGAACTTGGCATTTCGGATGTCTAGCAGGTTGGGAGTTATAATATTTCCCTTACATTATTTGGATTATTTGGAAGCCCCATATCGTACATCCTATATCAATGCCAGTCCTGGGTCTATTCCTAAAGGCATTGAAACCAGCATGCTGTAGGGATACCTGCACACCCATGTTTACTACAGCACAAGGCACAGTAGCCAAGACGTGGAGCCAGCCGAGGGGGCCACAGACAGGGACAGTTTTAGCAGATACAATAAATCGCAGCCCTCAGCAGACACGTTGCTCTTTAGGGGCCTGAAGACCAGGTCTACGTCCTGCTGTCTCCACCTAGTTACAGGTATGTCATGTTCTTGCACACAGAACGCAGAACGGATGTTACAGAAAGGAGAAAAGACCACAGAGCACAGCACGACGTCTTCCTGGTGCCAAGTCACCTGACAACACTCACACATCTGCCCTGACCGCTGCATGGACCTCTACCACAAATATTTGCTTCGACCCCTGTACGTGCCAGACCCCTTCCTGATCCCCTATAAAAATCCCTGCCTGGGGCTGGGGATTTAGCTCAGTGGTTCTGCCGCCTGCCCTGCAAGGGCAAGGACCCGAGTTCGATCCTCTGTACCAAAAAAAAAAAAAAAAATCCCTGCCTGTTCTTTGTTCACCACTGACTGGTTGGTTGCCCTCAGTCGACCTGCATCCAGGTGAATAAAGTCTGCACCTTGTTGCCTTCCAAAAAGTAAGATTGCCCCAAATCACCCAACAAATACCAGCAGCCTTCTGCCAAGGTCACCGACAGTTCTTGGCCTGCTTTTATGGAAAAGGGTTTTATGAAATAATTTGGTATTGTCTATTTTAGGTAATGAAGTTATTACAGAGCACAGTTTGTTGTAACAAAACTCTATTGTGAAGAACATGTTACTTGAATGCTTAAATGTAAGGAAACTCTATGAAAATTGAATTTGGGTAAAATTGACTGCTGTTTTCACTTTAAAATCAGACAAAATAAAAAAAAATCCTTTGTGATTTCAGTTAAGTATATATGTTATATATGTTAACTTTATATGAGCAATAGATTACTAGTATGTACTTTATAAGCATGGATTTTAACTTTATAAGTTTTTAAACTGTAGGGCCATGGGCAGAAACCATGGGTCCTGGTTAGCTTGGGACATTTCTAGGTTGTGTCTGCTGTTCTAGTGCAGCTATTAACTTTGCTTTTTTTGGTACCAGGGATTGAACTTGGGACCTTGTGCTTGTGAGGCAGGTGGCAGAACCATTGAGCCAAATCCCCGGCCAGCTATTAACTATTAACAGCACCTTTTTGTAGGGGACAGGGGAAGGGGACGTTACCAGAACCTCTGCAGTGAGTCCTGGTCTCCTGCGAGCCACGGCAGCACACGGCGAATTACAGGAAAGGTAGAAAAATGAGACTGAG